TCTTTTTTCGAGACAATTAGTATCTCACTCATGATCTAAGACATCACTTGGATAATTTGTCTCAATCGAAGTTATTTCGTGACAATGAATTGTTGTTTATTTGTCTAAAAAAATACCACCGTAGAAATTATCTCAAAATAAATTAGAAACATATTTCGAGAGTTTGAATTATCTTAAAATATGAAATATTCAAAAGCTTGAATTGTCTCTAAATAAGTTACAAAAAGTATTTCGAAAGTATGAATTGTTAGAAATTATCTCGAAATAAATCATAAAAAATATTAGAGAGTTTGAATTGTTTTAAAATAAATCGTAAAAAAAAGTCCAAAAAAGTGCATTTTCTACATTTTCTTCGACTATAGTCTCTTCACCGCATTCATTGATGCAATAAGATGATGAAACACTTTTTTTTTTCTTTTTTTTTTATCTTCTTTGAATTTGGTAAAGATAACGATTTGTCATTTAGTCTTAAAAATATTATAGTAATAAATTATTATATTTGTTTGACGCATCATACAGGATGGAAATAGACATTTGATTTCTCCACCAACATCCATATGTTTTGTTGATGTAGAATTCACATTGCCATGGTTTTTATTGATTTTTTACTCTAACTTTGTGAAAATGGAGGGTCTTAGTCTTTTGCAGACAGAAACCCTTCAATCGTCGTCATTTTGAGGCAACTTGTAAGATGAGCATTCATTTTTCATAATATGATAGTTTGCAGTTATTTTGATAGCAATTGGCACTAAAACTTGTGCCACATATCCAAGACTAGCTCTTGAAGTTTTGGATCTTTTGTTGTAGTAATTTTTCAAACGTGACTTTTCGTTTGAATTTTTGTTTGGATTAAATCGAATTATTGTGAGAAGTTTATAGGCTTTCGGGTCAAAGCTTTTATCTTTTATATCTGTATGACCTCCATTATTTCTTTAGTTTCTTTCTTAATTTGCGAGGGAGATATGAAATTGAGAGGAGTCGTTGGAAGAATCAATTTTTTCAAAGGTTCAATTAAAAAGTTAGGCGAAATTGAGACATGTGTCTTTCTTTTATTTCTTGATTTTGCCTTCAAGTTTATTTGTGGTGCTTTGATATATTCATTTATTTTTGGTGTTTCTATTACTTTTGTAAAGTATTGCATTTGCAAAGTGTGACTTAATTTTAGTATACAATTTCGTGTCACCAAGAACTTTCTTTGTCACTTTATTTTAACTATTTTTAAAGTATTGATGTTATGTCGAAGAGACTACACCATTCTCGTGTATCAATGGTCTCCTCAAAAGAATGTTGAACAATATCTCCGTATTTATAATGAAGAAGAAATGATTGGTTATTTCATCAATTTTCAATATCAATCTTATAGTACCAAGTATTTTTTTACCCCTCTTGATTGTATTCGCGTATCATTACACAACTTTTGAGGAGTTGATTTAAAGATATTCCCAATTTTTGAAATATATAGATGAAGGAAGTTGATTGTAGCTCCTCCATCTTTGTATATCCGGCTAATATTTTGTTTATTGATATAACCCACGACCAATAATAATCAGTTATAAGGTTTGGATCATAAGATCAAATCTTCACTAGGGAAGGTCATTGTGACATATTCTTCACTTAATTCATCTTTGATTACCTTCGTTAAGTCTTCATCCTTATTGGTAGTAAGATAATAAGATTTTTTATCTTTTATGTCAATTTCAAGAGATCCAAACATGATCAAAACGATGTTAACAACAACAGAATCGTCTTCGAGGGTGATATTTCATTCATGAACTAATTCCATGACTTTGTTTTTGAAACTGAAACAATCATTGATGAGATGTCCTATGATACAATGGTAATTATAGTATTTTGGGTTATCAACCTTTTCGACTTTTTCCAATCTCTTCTAATTTGGAAGTTTGATAAGCTTTACTTTAAGTAGATTTTTAAAGATGTCCGAGACGTCATAATCCAAGAAATGATAAGTCTTGGCTTGCAAATCTTTAAGGGTTATCTTTAGAGGCTTGCTTGTCTAAGTTTGTTAGATTTTCCTTACAACTTCGTTTTCTTTATTTTAGAATTTTATGGATATTTTAGGCGTTGCTTTTATGATCAAAGATCCTTTTTTGGAGGATTTGATTGGGATATTGCTTTATTTTTTTTGCAGCATCATATCTTTCATATCTTTTCATTTTTGAATATTTTTTAACATATGGCTCATGCATTCCACTTCAAACCATACTTAACTCTATGTAATGAGCACGTGTAACAAAATCTTCAAAAATATGAGATCGGATCATTTGGATGATATGTTCCAATCTCCATTGTATTTTTGGATATACATTTCTATGCCGAAAGTCTACAAATATGGTCTTTACAGTTCAGAGTTTGACTTCTCCAAGAGTTGATATTGTCGATTGTTAGCTCATTTTTCCATTGATGGTTATTGTTGAGCTTTATCATATTAAATGTTCTTTTTGTGCTATAGAACTAGTTTAAGAATCTATACTTTAGTTGCTCACAACTGTCGATAGAAGTATCTTCTAAGTCGATGTACTAGTCAAAGGCGTTGCATTTTAGTGATCGTACAAATTTCTTGAATAGGAGGTCTTCACATGTCCCCGCATTATTTCAAAAAAATGTGTTGCATGCTACTTTAGGTTGTCCTAGCCATCGAATTTTTGAAGTTTCAACAGTTCATAGCTCAATGAAATTTTGAAGGCTCGATTCTTGCAGTGTAAGGCTTGAGTAAATGTGTCGAACTTGAACTTCTTTAAATTCTGTTTTGAAACCTTGTGTGATATACTCGTCATATCGGAATGTATGGATGGAGTCCGGTGATGATTGAAACGGAATTGGTTCAGCCATGTTTTCTTTACTGTGGCATTGATTCGTAGATGTTGCTACTTCATCTTAGGTTAGAGGGGAAGATGATTCTTTTTCAGTATTTAGACCATTTTTTTTCTAATTTGTCTAACTTTGCAAGAAGTTTGGCAATGAGAGTGTTTTATTGTTGGATGTGTTGAGATATCCCTTCAACGACTTTAGTCAGTGTAACGAGTTGATCTTTTGTATTTGAGGTGTTGGTAGTCATCACCGAAGAAGAATTTGATACGGTTGAATGACTTACGATTTGCTAAGGCGTAAATGGGAGTTGAGGTACTCTTGAAGCTTTTATTTTCTTCATAGAGTGAGTTTTGCTCCGTAATTTTGGGAGGAGTATTTTCACAGAAGAAATAACGTTCTTTTGACCATGTTTCTTGTTGTTATTCTAATGTTTATAGAAGCATTTGAAGTTCTTGATGAGGTCGGTGTGAAGATTCTTTTAGAGGCGGCGTGAGCGATTGCTTTTGATGAAGTTTTGGAAATTTTGATTGTATAAAAAACTATTGATTGTTAAAAGTTCTACAAAAGGAAAAAATGAATAGTAGAGAGATCCTATTGGGCATCCTAAAAAATATGTTAAAAAAAAATTGCATTAATTTCACAAACATAAGTTTTCTACATATTACATACTCTCTCCATCCCAATACAATAGCCTTGTTTACTATTTTTGTCTGTCCCAAAATAATAGTCTTATTTCCATAAATAACTATATCACTATATAACTACCCTTACTCTTTCATTATTATTACACAATTGTCACTATTTTCTACACTAATACACTCACAAAAGCAAAAATGTCTTTTACTTATACTTTTTACCCACTATCAATATAATATCAATATTCCTTAAATATAGTGCCCAACACAATCAAGACTATAGTTTCGGGATGGAGGGAGTAGAATTTAAATTGACTTAAAACGGGTCATATTCTTTAAATGAGCCATTTGATTCGCATTTCGGATCAATTCGAATTTTAATTCAAATTTGAATGACATCTTTAAAGATTTTGAAGAAGATGATTTGAGGTTTCAAGAAGATGAATTTGAACTTTGGATTTAGCTATGACAGCTTCTTTGTAGTAATTTGGGTGACTTTTTTTTAGAGGATTTGAAAAACTTTGATATTTGTGAATGTGAATTTAATCATCGGCTTTTAAAATTTCCTTTGATGGTTTTGGTGACTTCATAAATGTGAATTTTAATTTGTACGTCATAACATTATTCGACATTATGTCCCTTTAACTTTTGGATCGAGGAGGACCGAATTATTAATTTACACAAAGAATGCGAAGAACTTTTGAAGCTTTAACATGAATTAAAGAACCCCGCGTCAACGTGAAGAGATGCTTGAAGCTTGATCCTTCTATAAAACCAAACGAACATACTCGATAAATTTTTATATTTGAACTAAAATTTATACATTTTAGTATATTAAGATTACTATTGATTTTTTTCATTTTAACTATATCTACTATTATAAATTCAAAATATATATATTTTTAAAAAAGATATAACAAAAAATAAAATTTTAAATCAACATAAAAAAGTAAACGGCTTTGTAGAATTAAATATGACCGTGTATAATTGTACAATAAATTAGACACGAATATATAACAATATGAACGTATATAATTGTACATGATCGTATTGTTTCCAAGACAGTTGTCACGTCAAACCCCGTTACGTCAATGCCAGTTATTTTCGTTAGTCTTTTAATTGATTGAAATTGATATTTTTTTCCCATATTTTTCACAAAATATCACAACAAAAGTTTTCTTTTTTTTTTTCCTTCCAAATTTCAAAATCTCCAAAAACCGTGCCTATATAGTTTTAATATTTACTAGGCAATAATACTATAGTGGGCAATACATCCCATATTCGTAGTACCAATCATGTCATTGGAACAATTGGTAAAGTTCTTCTAGAACTAAAACTGTGTAATTATTTCTATTTTAAAAGATAATCATATGGTAAACTTGTTTTATTCGGGTTCCCTTTTATGTTGGAGATCCCGGACCTTTCAAGAATATGTGGACAGAAAAACAAGAACATTTAATTCGATAGAAAGTGGTAGTGGCAATACATATATAGATATATATCTCTGAAATAAGATATTTTTTTATTTGAGTAGTCAAAATAAGAATCCCTTTTTCTCCACTCACTCTCATTCATTCACTCCCAAATGGACGTCGAATCCGCGCCCCCCCGGCCGCCCCCATCGCCGGCGCCGGCGCCGCGGCCGTTCTCCTCCGCCGTGGGGCGGCTCAACTCATACGTAGCGAAAAGCCGCGTCGGAAAGTACTTCAAGATCGCCGACCGGAACACCTCCTTCACGACGGAGCTCCGCGCCGGCACCGCCACGTTCCTCACCCTTGCCTACATCCTCGCCGTCAACGCCTCCATCCTTGAAGACTCCGGCGGCACGTGCTCCTTCTCCGACTGCATAGCCACCTGCCCCGACCCCAACGGCACCCCCACCAACTGCTCCACCCCCCTCCTCCCGCCGGAATATCCCTCCTGCAAATTCAACCCCGTCAACCCGGGCTACGCCCGATGCCTCGAAAGAACCCGCAAAGACCTCATCGTCGCCACCGTCGCCTCCTCCCTCATCGGCTGCACCATCATGGGCCTCGCCGCGAACCTCCCCCTCGCGGTGGCGCCGGGCATGGGCACCAACGCTTACTTCGCCTACACCGTCGTCGGGTTTCATGGCTCCGGCAACGTTTCTTACCAGAACGCCCTCGCCGCCGTCTTCGTCGAAGGGTTACTCTTCCTCGCAATCTCCACCGTCGGATTGCGCGCCAAGCTCGCCAAGCTCGTCCCCAAGCCCGTCAGGATTTCTTCCTCCGCCGGCATCGGACTCTTCCTGGCCTTCATCGGACTTCAGGGCAGTCAGGGCATCGGCCTCATCGGATTCCATCTCAACACCCTCGTGACCCTCGGCGGCTGCCCGATCTCCGACCGGTCAGCCGTATCGCCGGTGATTACAGTAAACGGCACCGTTTTGCTCGACCCGAACGGCTCCCCGTCCGGCGACATTCTCTGCCTGCACAACAGGATGGAAAGCCCCACGCTTTGGCTGGGGGTTTTAGGGTTTGTAATAATTGCTTACTGTCTGATGAAGAACGTGAAGGGGGCAATGATTTACGGCATACTTTTCGTCACCGCCGTGTCCTGGTTCCGGCACACGAAGGTCACCATGTTTCCCGACACCCCCGCCGGCGACGAGAGTTTCGATTACTTCAAGAAAGTGATCGACGTCCACAAAATTGAGGAGACCGCCGGAGCTCTGAGCTTCAAGGGGATCGGAAAACCCCATTTCTGGGAGGCGATGGTGACCTTTCTGTACATCGACATTTTAGACAGCACCGGGACTCTCTACTCCATGGCGAGGTTCGCCGGATTCACCGACGGCAACGGCGACTTCGAGGGGCAGTACTTCGCCTTCATGTCCGACGCGGCGGCGATCGTCGTCGGCGCGTTGCTGGGGACGTCGCCGTTGACGACGTTCATCGAATCGTCGACGGGGATCCGGGAGGGTGGGAGGACGGGGCTGACGGCGCTGACGGTGGCCGGATATTTCATGCTGGCCTTCTTCTTCACGCCGCTGCTGGCGTCGATTCCGCCGTGGGCGGTGGGGCCGCCGCTGATACTGGTGGGGGTGCTGATGATGAGGACGGTGGTGGAGGTGGACTGGGGGGACATGCGGCAGGCGATTCCGGCGTTCGTGACCATGATTCTGATGCCGTTGACTTATTCGATCGCGTACGGATTGATCGGCGGGATTGGTTCTTACATAGTTCTGCATTTGTGGGACTGGGGGGAGGAATTGTCTGGGAAGGTTGGGGGTATTTTGGGGAAATCACCTCCTGGTAATGCTCTAGTGGTGGAGAATGGTGGATCCAGACAGGCTGTATGACGGCTCCACTCTCACTCTCAATTAGGCTTTGCAATTGTTTCGGATCTTTTTTGTCATTTTCAGTTTTAAAAGTGTTAAATGCTTGTTAAAAGGAATTAGGGCTAAATTTTATACATAGTAAAATTTTGTACATTAGAAACCGAATAAATAATAAAGATAATAGGGTTTTTTTTTATTTTTTTTAATTTTTATGAATTACGTGGAAATCCGCTGCTACTACTCGAAAGTGCGCACTGGGTAAATCTTCGGCCGAACCTAATACTCTGCAAATTAGACCCGACGGACAAGTCACACTAGACGAACCATGTGCAACAAATGATCCGAGGCGTAAGGAGTTTTATACTATTACAAGTGTGTCATTTTGAAATTTTTATACTCTTTTAATTTATTTCTAAGGTCAAGAATCTTGATACAAATATCAATCCGTTGCCAATGTCCATAAATACTATCGCAATGCAACATCCGAGCGCCAATCCCATCTATAAGGTAAAAGAATTAGAAGCCACCTTGGAAGACCGTATTTAAAAGCCTATTTCAAATATAGAACATAGTTTTTTTTTTTTTTTTTTATTTTTTATTTTTTATTTTTTATTACTAGGTATAATAAGGCAATTTTTTCGACAAATGATGAATTTCAATCAAATGAATAAAATAATAGTAACCAGGAAGAATTATCAGCACAACTTAAGTTACAACGCACGACCAGATAATATCAAATATCTACAAAGTATTATTTACGTGAATATGTACCGGTAATCAGTGACAGAACCAGCAGTAAAAGTTCGGGAGAAGGGGAGGCAAAATTGATTTTTTTTTTTTATCAATTTATTTTTTTTCATTCATAGTACACTCTGGCAACAAAAAATTGATAAAAATTGAAAAATTTAAATGTTTTAGAAAAAAATTCAACAAAATTACATAAAGTTTAATATTTTTTTTACTATGAAAAAATAAAATTTTAAAAACTAAAAGTATAAATCCACAAACTGATAAATTTTTTAAGATTTTTTACATTACAAAATAAAAAAAATTAGAAAAGACAAATTATTATAAAATATATAATTTTATTATTTTTTACATGAAAAAAAATACATATATTTTGAGGGCGAGAGAGTCACCTAACTCCCATGTAATTCCGCCCTTGCTGGTAACTGATGTGGAAGAGCTAAAATACTATCGCGAAGTCATCACACATGAGTGTAAGTAGATTTGGTTTTAAGCCATGCAAAATCAATTGAAGTCTTTATATGAAAATTAAACATACAAACTCATGGATGCTTAAGTTAAAGACAACTAAACACAATTCTCAACCAAGATATAAAACAATATTAGTCATAAAAAATTTGTCAAAAACTAGCTAGGTATTGATTTTGATGATATTTTCTCTCATGAGATTAAAATATCTTCTATTCAACTTATGTTAGACCATTTTCAATGCAACGTCAAAATTGACGTTGCATCTCCATATTTGTCGCTAACCGTCTCCAATTGGACGCCAATTCATACTATATTTTTTTGTGTTGCACTGTAGCAAACGCTATTTATGGTTTATTTTTTTTTAAATTTTTAAAATTATAAATTTGACTTTTAAATTTAATTTTTATTTATTTAAATTTTTAAAAAATTTATTTAAAATTATAAAAATAAAAAGTTGTTTAAAATAATAGGAAAAATTGAATAGTTGAAGAATAATAGTGAAAAATGAAGTTATGGTTGGAGTAAAATTACGGTAGCAACGGCATATTTGGAGATAAAACTGGATAAATGAAGTTGATGGATTGGAGATGACCTTAGAACTTGCAACTACTCTTGATTTGAAAATTGAGCAACTGGATGTAGAAAAAATAATTTTTCATAAAACCGCATCTAATTCTTATGTATTTATTAATAATTTTTATGATGTTGATTATATTATTCTTTTGTTATATGTGAATACCAAGTTTATTGCTGGTCGTGATGCTAATAGCATATCCGAATTGAAGGGGAAGCTGAATAAGTTTTTTTTTTTTTTTTCATGTCTTTCTTCTTCTTCTTCGTTATTTTTCCATCGGACAGGTAAACATAACCTTTGTATTTTATTTTCGATCAATAAGCCCTAATATCATTTTTCTTAATTCCTAATATTTTGAAATATTGATTTCTTTTCAAATTGATCCATTATCATTGAAAAATTTAATTTAATTTTTTGGACGATTTTATATTTAGAACGAGTGATATTAAAAAAAAAAAATTATTATTATTTTTCATATGAAATAGTTTCTCCCATCAAATAAGAAATGATTTATATAATTATATATTTTTCAAATTTGCAATACTTAAATCAAATCTATAAATGATGAAATCAATACTATTATTAATATTAGTGACAAATTGACAATTTTACCCATTGGATTAACGTAGACTGTTGACCGATTTTAAAATCTAACAATTAGAATTTGGTTACCACAGTGTTGAATCTATAATTCAGCACAATACCCGGTATAATATAATATGACCAATGTTCAGATAAAATTTGAATTCGTAATTAATGTAATTTTGTTAATTATGGTAACATATATTATTATTATTATTATTTTATTATTACTATTATTGTTATTATTATTATTATTATTATGACTAGATTCAATTAATTACTTGAATTAAATTATTACTAAAAAATTTTAAATTAAAATTTATAATTTTAAACTCGTTTATTGATATCCATAATCCATTGAATCGACAATTAATTCTGATCCTACAACTATATAAAACTCAACATTGTCTGTGTTCTCTAAGAGCAGCCCTAATGATTATTTGGCTTAAACATTAATGTTTACTTGTATAATTTTTCATCTCATTTTACTATTCTAATTTTTTCTTTTTCAAAAATATCAAATAAAACACTCATTTTTTATTTATTATATTTCACTAAAATTTAATTTTACATTCAAAATATCACGTCAAACAACTATTTCAATTCAAAGTTTTATTATTCAAAATCAAAAACTAAAATCTTACGAATAAACAAATATTCCAAAACACAAAATGAACAGAGTCAACGTTCAACACTTATTTCCCAAACAAATCAAACTATTTTTAAATACCATTTTCAGGTTATTTCCTAGAGTCTAATATGGCATCTATACATAATTAAATAGGTTACCTTTCCTTAATTTTGGTAATAGAATTAATTTTCAACAAATACAACAATACACCTTCAAATAAAAAATCCTTATAAATACCAATTAAGTACATCCAACCAAGTGTCCAAAACTCGATCATAGAAATTTGATGAGAATGGATTGTCACGTGAAAGTTGTTGCAATATTAATATTGTTGGCTGCTAATGGCTTCATGGCAATCTCATCAACATGTGTATTTACAAGGGGGTATCGAGTTCACATCCTTAACAAGTTGTCGTCGAGCTCTTATATAAAGGTGCATTGCCGGGCGATAGGCGACGACCGCGGCGAGCATACCCTTTCGCAGGATGACGACTACAATTTTCATTTTTGCAATTCATTTTTCGAAGACACTAAGTTCATATGCGAACTTCGTTGGAGCAACCTTTTTGCTTCGATTGAAGCATTTAAGTCGAGTTTTGAGATCGACCGCCTATGCGGGCCGGATTGCTATTGGGTGGCTACCGAGTACGGTATCGCTTTCGGGAAAGATCCTACCAATGTTAAGCAGAAGTACGATTGGTTGTCGGACTCGTAGATATTTATATACGTATATGTTATATGGAATAAGAATATATATTTATAGGTCTCTATCTTTGTCTTCGTATGATTATATGACCGTTAATAAAAAAGCATATATTTCTTTTTTTATGTGATGGCTTAGTTGATAAATTGTTAATTATAGAACTTACACGCTATCAAAGTAAGGTTTTGCATTTTAGTCTCATAACTTATTTTTTGATCCACTTACTTCCGGCTACCTTCGAGCATCACCGCCACCACCACCGTCTTGCCCACTGTTTGGTGACCTCTCAGCAAAAAATTCTTGCCATTCGGTAGTGTGCGTATCACACGCCCGATCAGTCCGACGACAGCATTTTTTTTCACCGGCACGTGAGCGTCACTGTCGCCGTTTTTTCGTCGTGTTCTCATCTTGTATCCTCTAATGGAGTGTATGAATGTTCACTCTCTTATCAATATTCTCTTATTTGGAAATAATTATGATATTTGACTACAGTCTATGAAAAGTTTCCTGATTCGTGGAAAGCTATGACGTATTGTAATTGGAGATGTTCTGCCACTTGTTCCCCCATCTCGTTGTGAATGTTGATCTCACTTTTCAGGAGATTGCATATTATATTGCTAAGTTGGAAGATTGAGATAGTAAAAATCATAAATTCCTATTTGGTTGCATAATATCCCTGTGACTACTATTCAGGTCCAATTGACTTCTTTTAATACTGTAAATGAGGTTTGAGATTTTCTTACTGCTCATTTTCAGACTATAGGTTTTGTTCATTATTATCAGCTTTTGAGCACACTGAACTCCATCCGACAGATAAATGGTCAGTTCGTAAATGTGTTTCATGCACATCTTCAGCTTATCCAATATCGTCTGTGATACGCACAAATTATTCAGGACCATTTTGACCTTATTTAGATCTTGATAGCTCTTCGACATCCATTGCCTACTCTTGAAGATTATATTTGAGGAGACTCGACTTCAGCTAGGCAATAGAGCAAGCTCTGATTCTGCCCTAGTTGTGTCCTCCTTTACTCGTGGATCCTCTTCGTCTTGACAATCTCGATTAGCTAGTGCTAGACGATGTCAAATTTGTAGGACTTTTGACCAAAATTTTGCCACATATCGTAATATTTGTATTTATTACGGAAAAATTTATCGAAAAAGATAAAATATTGACCAAAGTAAAAATAAAAAATAAAAATATTCATCCCAATATATTTCGTTACAAAATTCACCAATTTTTCCGAACCTATTATTATGAGTGAATAAATAGGTCATTTTCTAGTAGTGCCACCTACATATGCTTAAAACTACATCCATAGTGACATATAAATATGCTCTTAGTTAAAAATGATATGCTGACTATTAAGAAATTTTTACCAATAGAAAATTTTACTTCATAGGTCCACAAAAAAACATATTTTTTGTGTACTTTATGTCCTTTGTTCCAAAAAAGAAAAGAAAATAGAAAATTGAGTGAACATAGGTGTGTTTGTTTGGTGGTTTGGATTTTGAGTTGTGATTTGAATAAAAAAAATTTTGAATTTGAATAGCTGTATGATGTGATATAAATAGTTGTTGATGTGATATTTTGAATGTAAAATTGATTTTTAGTATAATATAAAAAATGAGAAAGAGGTGTTTGATTTGATATTTTTGGGGGAAAAAAATTGGATGAATAATGTAAATCCAATCCAATCCCCCAAACAAACACAGTGTTTGAATGACATGACCACAATGAGAAATTTTTGTAAGTCACAAAATCAAAATAAAATAGTATAAGAATAACATAATGAATTTGACTATTAGACATTTATATATATATAAATTAAGAAGGAGTGTATGAAATTAATAGTATAAATTATTTGAAAAACTTTGTGAAGAAGTTGGGAGAAGCATTGTTGTTGGACTGCAAGCATGCAACATGAGCGTATCTCCCCAATTTATCGACTTGTCTTGCCTCTCCTCTTGTATCCTTTTTGCATATTTTGCATGTCTTGTCCACCCATCCTTCTTCCACGTACTCTCCCTCCACTGTTAATTTCATTAATATTTATATATTGCAGAATTCTCATGTTATAAAAAAAAAAAAAAAAATTATATATTGCAGTCACAAATTATTTTGAATTTTTAAGGTAGAATAAATGATTGAATGAAAATAGATAGATGTTGAAAGTATACGATACAACACATTTGAATGAAAAAATAGTAAAAAAAATTGAGATGTAAATTGAATGAAGCCCTATAAAATAAAGAAATATTGGAATTTGATAAATATATTATTTGTTATTATTATTATTATTATTACCCTCAACATATGACTTGAAGAAATCCTTGTATGTGCCCCCAATCTTCCTCCTCAGCGCTCCATACTAAGTACATTCAACAAAACAAATTTATATTATTGATGCATTATTATCCATCTAATTTCTAGCTTCTTTAATTTGTTAGGTGTCTACAAAACAAGACAAATTGTGCGGTACCAAAAGTTGCAAACTACGCCTAATTTGATGTTCATTTTTGTTATGTATGTATATATATATATATAGATGTAGTACATACAACAACGACAACAGATCTTATGCTGATCTGGCCAAGTCAGTATGGTGCCAATTTGACCGATCAGCATATGTCATACATATGACCAACATATATTTATACATAGTATAACATATGTTGTATTATAAAATATGTTAAAATATGTATAAATATATGTTTTTAGTTGATATAACATATATTGATTCGGTCAAATCAGTATCATGCTGACTTGACTGGATCAACAGCTGATCTATGCCTACATACAACTCATATAAATTGAATTGACTTTTAAAAAGTGTTTTTAGCTTTTACTTTTAAAAAAACATTTAGTCTAATATGATACGAGGATACTAGGGGTTTGTTAGCTTTGTTTTTAAATCATCAATTTTGGCCGTTTGTTAAATTTTTAATTTGTTTTAATTATATCTTTTAAGGATTTACGAATTAACACAAAATAATTAGAAGCAAGATTTTTTTTTTTTTTTTTATTTTTATAACGTGAAAATCCGCGGCCACTATCCTTCTGAATAAATTACTTATTATATGAGAGAGAGAGACCTGCTCCCTCGACATTCTTTCTCCAGAGGTGGTGGCTTGGCGGGCGTCGTCGAGGAGCTCAGCATCCCTATCGGATCGAACCTGCGAGAAATCAAGAGCCTCTGTCACACTCTCCAAGAACGACTGCTTCCTCTTCTGCTTAGGCTCCTCATCAGCGGCCTCCTTCTTCGCGCACTTTACCGACATCGGCCTAGAACAAACATACTGAGCTGTCCGGAGGCCATTTTGATTTTGATTTTGATTTTGATTTTTTGAAGAATGTACAGATACAGGAGGAACTGGAATTGCCCTCAGTACTCCCATATTGTCTGTCTTTCTTTTGTAGCTAACTAATTATTAGTGAATCATTAATTAATAATGGTAAGTGTGTGTATATATCATATCAACAAGTCATTGAAAGTGAGCAGATCGAGTGTGAGGCTGTAAGGAAATGATCGATAAATTGGATATGGATGCATGGCTACCAATTGCTCGTGGAGATCATGGCTCACACCACGAGACGTGGCTTTCTTTTTGTCTACTAACAAATATATATAAAATCTCTTTTTTATATTTAACTACGAATTAATGTCTATTTTTTAAAAAATTTAAATTCAAACGTAATTAAGTAATTCATTGTAGAAACAATGGTTTAATAATCATAATTTATAAAGAAATTTTGAAATGAAATTGAATGTTTATTTTCGGTCTGGATTATTGAATTTTTAAAGGTTTGGGATTTTTTTTTTAAGAAAAATAATAGTATAGTACAATATTTTATGAAAAAAACTATATATTTTTTAGCAACATAAAATTCAAATAGTAAATAATATAAAACTCAAAGTAAATAATGTTTAAATGTTCGTTTACTTTTCTAATTTTTTTTTTTTATTTATTTAATTATTAAATGTTCTTTCACAAAACTTCACCTTTAATGGGATTTTTTCACTTACAAAGTATTATATATTGGTGTTGTGAGGTTCTTGCAGTTTTCAGATAACCAATAGACTTGAATCAATTTGACTGCCTTAGGAAATTTCAAAGACTTATTAGGAAATTTTTGTGGTGGAAACTTGCCTCACTGTTGAATGGTTTCAAGAGAGCTATGCTATGTATAGAAAGCCTATATTTTAAAGTAATTGATATTTTTGAAAAGAAATAAAATATAGTCTAAAAAAAATGACAAAGAGGAAAAAAAAAAAAAAAAAAAAGGGATTTGGCTTGATCATACCTACGGAATGGATTATGTTCTAAAAATTCAGTATGATCACGTCTAAAGAATGATTCATGTTTTAGAAATTCAGTGTTACCACACCTAAAAAAGATATATTCTCTAAAATTTCAGATGATAAGATGTGTTCTTTATCAAATAATTGTGTCTCTTGAATTTTGAATTTGAACCAAATCCTCTTACTTTTGGATCGTTAATTCAAAGATCTTTTTATATCTTCAAACAATAGAGCCCAAAAATTAATTTTCCTAAAGAAAACACAATATGTTTTGATACCACTGAAAAAAAAAATTAGGACAAAAAATTAATTTTATTAAAAATATTCAAGAAAAAAAAAAAGCCAATTAAACAAGATTTCATTTAACAAGGTGATGTGAGGTTCAAGCCTAAATCACTCGAATAAAACAAAAAATCACAAAAAGCATCACAATCCAAACCCAAATTGCGACACTATACACATTTATTATTTTTATATTTTCTACACAATTTTTTATATCTCATATAAAAATAATAATAATAATAATAATAAAATTCTAACAATCTCACAAAACAAACACACTATTGTAAGTGTAAATGCCTACAATTGATTACATATGTAGGTCATGGAGGAATGAAGGGCACAGATTCAATCCTTAGAGTGGACAGGCCAGATTAATTCATGTGTTTGGATCAGCCAATCAAATGGATTGTAGAAGTGAATTGGAAATTGTGTTGGGCTTTTGAATTGAAATTTTATGGGCCTAAAAAAGAAATATCTCATGGGCCACCAAAATTCCACATACTTTAATTAATATAGTAAACTGTTTTTTTAGCCCCGTAATTGGACCCTTATTATTTTAGTTTCATAAGTGGAGTCTGTCGCAAACTAGTCTCATAAGTGAAAAATTTTCGTTGTTTTAGTCCTGCGGCACCGGAGATACCCGCATGGCTCGCCGAAAGCCACGTGTCCGCCAGGTCAACGACACCTAAAATAAAATCCACGTGTCCGCCAGGTCAACGACACCTAAAATAAAATCCACGTGTCCGCCAGGTCAACGACACTTAAAATAAAATCCACGTGTCCGCCAGGTCAACGACACCTAAAATAAAATCCACGTGTCCGCCAGGTCAACGACACTTAAAATAAAATTCACGTGTCCGCCAGGTCAACGACACCTAAAATAAAATCCACGTGTCCACCAGGTGCCTTCCGGCGAACCACACGGGTGTTTTCGGCGCGGGAGGACTGAAACAACAAAAAACTTTCACTTGAATTAGTTTGCGACAGACTCCACTTAAAGAACTAAAATGATAAGAGGATCCAATTACGAGACTTAAAAAACAGTTTACCTTACATAAGAGCGAGAGATCAATTATTGTTATTATAGAATCAAATTAAAATAGAATTTTTATGATTTGATTTTTGTTGGGCGTAGCATGGGTTTTTAGGTTAATTTATTATAAACAATTATGTTAAAATAGTTTATATCAAAAATTAATTTAAACATATATATATATATTCTTTTTTGAAATATAATATTAAATATTTTTAGTTGTTCTTTTAGTATTTATTTTTTAAGATATATTTTATTTATTTATTTAGAATTCTATTTATTATTAAAATATTTATCTTTGTTATTTTTTAAAATATTTTATTAAAAAATAATATATCTTTATTTAACATCGTGTTTATGATAACCTTAAACCTTTCAAAATATATTTAGAACTTATTCGCTTACGTGTTTACATGTTTTTTTTGATATTTTGGATTTCAGCATATTTTTTTATTAATATAAATATATATGTATATATATATTGACAAAAAAATATAAAATATATTATTCGTTAAAAAAATAATAATTTAATACTTTCCCGTCCCAATATAATAAACTTGTTTATCATTTTTGTTCGTTTCAAAATAATAGTCTCATTTCTATAAATATTTGTATCATCGTTAAATTATCCCTACATTTTTATTATTATTATACAAATGTCACTATTTTTTATAATAATATACTCACAGGAGCAAAGAAGTTTCTTACTCATATTTTTTACCAATTATCAATATAATATCAATATTCCTTAAATCTCATATCCAACTCAAATAAGACTATAATTTTAGGACAAAGAGAGTATAAGATACTTCCTCCGTCCCGGAACTAAATATCCGCTTGCTTTTTACACGTAGTTTTAGAAATATTAGTATTATATTAGGATATAGTATGAATAAAGTAGAAATGACTAAAATAACCTTATTAGTATGTGTGATATAAAGGTAATGACATTTGTGTAATATATTGTAAGTTGTAAGGATATTTGTAATGTTAAGTAGAAGTAGAGTTACTAAAAAAGGAAATAGATATTTTGTTATAGGACGGACTAAAATAAAAAAATAAATACTTTATTTTGGGACGGATAAAATATTATGTTTTACACACACAATATCAAATCAAAATATAATTTAAATTTAAAATAAAAAAAAAATTCAAATAAAAATAAATAAAGAAGAATGAGGAGTCTAATTAATATTCTGGTAGCGTACTCGGACAGCTAAGTATTGTAACAGACTTGCGTGGCAAGGCTTAGCCAATGCGATGCCCCATTATTATTAATTTTTACTACAGTGTGATAATATAGTACAAGTATAATGCATGAATTAATCAGACACTGATAATTAGCAAACAATATACAGTAATATTAGTGACAATATATCGTTTATATTTATATAATATAAATACAGAATATGAACTAACAATACATTACTATACTCACACAGCAGATGCAACAGTTGATTTCAACATATGACGTACACTTGTACAACACACGTATGATTATATACAAACAACAACACATGTCACTATTACAAACAATATGTACAATTTTTAATAAAAACTTGTGGTAGTTTTATATTTTATGAGTGCTGATTTGAAACTTAACCTTCCCCCGTAATAATTACGTCATACTTGCCGATATCATTTCATACTCAGCATTCTTTACTTCAGCGCGTGCTCCCACACGACTAATGAATTAACGTTTATCTTCCTATTTTAAATAAATCTGGAATCTGAAACGGAAACCGCCCAAACATTGACCAGATCAAAATGGGAAATACCCGAAACCGAAACAGCAAAAAGCGCGTGGGATTCTTAAAACGCGACTCTGTCTCCTACAATACATACGTATATAAAACGCGACTCTTCCAACATAATACGCACACCGTCTGACGGTATTTTCATAAATTAATTCACAAAATCGCACAGCCAAACGCGCCCTTATATATATTCCCTCTCTTCACATTTCCGCCCCTCCCTCTCTGCACTGCACTGCACACTTTGAAATTTTCTCCCTCGTCCATTCCTCACATGGCCACAAACCCTAATTTCCTCCATTCCTGCACCGTTCTCACCTTTTTCTTCTTCCTAATTGCGATTCAATTGTCCTTCGCCAGCAGACCTCTATCGGATCCAGGCAATTTCGACGCCTCTGTATTGATCGTTGATGGTAAGGCTGCAGCAGTAAGCGAGAAATCATCGAAGAATGAAGAAACAGCAGCAGCAGGAGGAGGCGGTTTTCCTAGGCGTGGATTGATTTACGGAAGTTCGCTGATGAACATGCTTCCGAAGGGGAAGATGCCTGTGTCTGGACCGAGCAGAAGGATCAACGATGCTAAGAACTAATCAAGTGATCCTGATTTGAATCAGTCAGTCAGTTTCTCGATCTCTCTGTTCTACCTGCTCTTCCCCATTTTTTTGACAGAAATCGTGTGTTAATTTGCTCTTTGCTAAGTATATATATATATATAACTGTATACATACATACATACATTATGCATACATACAGGCACAGTCTTCTTCAGAGAATTCTAGCTCCATATAATACTGTTATTTTTTTCAATTATTTCTCAGTTGCTCTTTATCAAAACTAATTGCATATATATATATATACATAGTTACATAATTATATATGAAGGCCATTGCTAAATCAGTTGCGCCATTGTGCTTAACATTAAAAATATCTTTATATTTGTATAATTTATTTTTTTTAGAAATGTTCTTTTATTAGTATTTTACAATTTTTTCCTAATTTTTACTATATTGTGATATTATAATAAATGTTCAAAGATTACCATAAAAAAAAAAAAAAGTAAATGAGATTCTTGGTAGTACTTGGAAGTTGGAAGGAATGGCTCTGTAAATATAT